TACTTATAATGCAACAATAGACTACTTACCTATCACTAAAATATAACAGACTTAATGAATCATGCACTAATAAAATCCAACTAGATTTTATCAACCTATGGGTATTGTAATGTATCTACACTTATTTAAGGACAAAAACATCAATCATATGAACAGTTGCAACTACAAGATAATTAAAGAGGTTGTAATGCACTGTCAATACTAACATCAAAGTTAATTACAAAAAAATCAAAATTCAAATAATTCTAGCCTACAACCACAGAGTATAAATTTCATTCAAAGTAAATATGTAATCCATTAAAGAAAAAATGAGAGAAGAATTGAAATGGTTATCAAGTGCAAAAACATGCTTTGTAGTCTTTAGGATGCAATTTCACATCGCCTCATATCCCATGCAAATAATGTAAATAGCAACAATACTCAAATATACAAAAGATAAAGTCTAAGATAATTTTGCCTCATAAGCAATAGATACAAGCAAATTTGAGTGGATTGGAATAGACTTGAGCTACAAAGTGGGAACAAGACAATAAGACTATTTCAAATTGAGTTTTTTTCTTATTTTTAAACAAATAATTAAGATTCTCTTAGGAAATTTTGCAACATATAAATGGAGCTATGATTATAATGATGATGAATATTAGATAATCATGATGAATGTGGTTGATTTTCATTGATTGTAGATCTAGAAGTAGAAAAATAAATGTAGATGTCATTGATTTTTCATGATTGTGATGATAGATGGATTGCTTTATTAAAAGAATGGATCTATTTAATATTCTTCTACATATATACATATATATATATATATGCATGTTATCTAAGAATATTAATTCAGTCAGATGGAAATAGGTGATGAATAGAAAGCAAGATGCATGTCTTTAAAATATGTGATTGAATAAGCTTATTACCTAAATAAAACATTAGTAAATGTCATAAGTTTCTTGTAGTAAGAAATTTATTTTTTAGGTCAAAATTATCACTTTTTTTTGTATTTTTTATAAAAGATAAACAAGCCAAAATGTGTGTGTATATGTATATTAGAAAAAAACATAGGAAGATAGAACAATGTGGTAAAAATTTTATATTTTTTAAAATCAAAATCAAAATCATTAGTAATTGAAGTTAATTTAATATTAAATTAAAACACTATAGAAGGTTAATTTAATATTAATTTAAAATACAAATTACTTCCAAGTATTTAAACCATGTTTATAATTCTTAGGATAATTGAAAAAAAGTGATGATATGACATCACTGTTATTTTGTACTTTAAAAAATACATATGTAAGAAAATGACTCACTATTTAAATATAATGTATCTAGCAAACAAATGTGAATAAATAACACTACTAAATCTTCTTTAAAACGTTTCTTATTAAATCTTTTGAAGAAATCTTTAGAAAGTTAAGAATTTGAATTTTAAGATTATGTTGCAACAAATATATAATTTTTTTTAATCTAAAATTTTACTATGAATAACTTGTTAATACCTTATATTTAATCAGTACATATTTGTTTAAATTTTTATTAATTTTTAGTATTTCATTGCAAAATTTTGTATCATTTTTCAATAACAACTATAGTCACCTTATATCCAATATTAGTTAAATATGTATTTGGAACTTGATGTTGAATTTGGATTAAAAAATAATCAAATATGATTAATAGTATTGAAGTGTAAACTAAAAAAATCAAAATATGAAGAAAAATAAAACAAAATAAAACAATAATTATTTGATTGGTGCTTTAATTTTATTTAAAAGGTTATTTTTTCAACATCCTCACAATTAAAAAATGTATTATGTTTCTTTATAAGAATTTTGGATATTATTTGTTCTTCTTCTCTAAATATTTGTTTTAACATAAATAAACATTTAACTTTGTAGCCAATTGGAAGTTGTGGCAAGTATTTTGTTTACATTTTTTGGGCCAACTTTTTTAAATTTGGCATTAATGACCAGTTATTTTATAATTTCTTTGGTCGAATTTTATTAAAATATTAATATTAAATAAATTTATCAATATTTTCAATTATGGGATTTAATAATTTTATATTTTTTAGGTTTATAAACTTTAAAATTTGATTGACAACAAAGATTTCAATTTCCGTCATCATAATCTTCTTTCTGAGTTAGCTAATTTTTCAATAGGTTAATTATTATACTTGAAACAATTCATTATTGCATTCTTAAAATAACATATATAGCAAGTGATGTCAAATTGGCTGTTGGAGTTCTTTGGAAAACACAGAAATCTAAGCTTTTTGGCTGACACAAAATTGATGTATAAACAGGTGTAAAGTTTATCTATAGAGGTATAATCAAATGTTGGTTGGTAATGATTTCTTTTGATTTCATATCTCCTACTTTAATGGCCTTTTGTGCATATATATATATATATATATACATATTTATTACGACATTCATATATTAAAATTTTAAAATTTAGATGTTCAAATTTGAACTGTGAAAACTTCAGATTTTTTTTCTATAAAAATTCAATGATTTCTAAATGAAATCCAGTTTCAAGTTTGTAAATCTAATTTTCATTTTCTTCAATTTATTTTGATAGCAATTTTTTTAAAACTAATTAATCTTATTTCAAGTTATTGTACTCATCTTAGATATGTTGAAACAATAATGCAAGGCGTTTGTATAGCTTGAACTTAAGAAAGATAAGAATCTTGAATGTAAAGCAATCTTTTTGTAGAATGTTTGTTTAATTTCAAAGAAAAAGTACTAATTAATTAAATTTTTCTAATAAGAAATTAAATAAAAAATATAAAGAGTTATTATAATTTTTAAAATACTCCAAGTTTTAATTTAAGTTTTATTTTTCATCATCTCTATTTTACAATTGAAAGCCATCCTTTTATATTTTAAGGTGATTTTTTTTTGGTTTATATTATGTTATTTTGTAGGTAGTCAACCAAATTATAATATTTAAAATAAATAAATAAATAAATCATGATATTTTTTTTTAACAACAACTTGATTTCATCTTCTATAAGCTTATCCAATAGCAAAGGAGATTTGTACCACGCATTATCAAAAATAAAATATAATCTTTTAATATCTTGTACTAAATCCATGCCAACATACATAAAAAACTTGTTGGGTAGAGTGTTGACAATTCTTGATTCTAAAAGTGCATTATATAATACACCTAATGAATAAACTTAATGAAATAAATCAATAAAGTTATATTAAGGTAAAAATGTGACTTTATTTCATTAAATTATATCCAAGTATCATATAGTGAAACAAGTATTGTCCAATTTTTTTAAAACAAAAAATGAACCAACTTAAACCAAGTCTTATAAGTTGTTTTAAAACTAATCAAATAAAAGAGTGGAACCATGACTTTTAATTGGTATTTTAAAAAAACCTATATACTGCTACAGAAGGAAAAAATTTAATAAGAGGAACGATGTTGAAAAAATTTAACGGTAAAATACATAAATAAATAAACATAAAATTTATCATTAACATGCATTAGATTTATAAGAATATGGATATTATTTTACAACGTTTTTAAAAATCTAACGATTTTTTAAATAACAATACAAAATATATATGTATATCACAAAAAAATTAGCTCAATATGCTATTTATCCTTGCATTAACCAATCACAAACCTTAAATGCTTATTATGTGGCAGATTTATATAAACCAATTTAGACTGAATGTGTAAAAACAAAAACAAATAGAATTTTGCATATAATGTTTTAGTCTACAAATCTTAATTTATAATATTTTTCTCAAAAATGTCATTTATGCTCTTATCTTTGTGATAAATTTTTATTAAAAAAAATCTAAAATTCTAATAGTTGATTTTATTTTACTTTATTTTATTCAGAAAGCTTTCAATAAGAGAGTCCATATATTGTTCTTTGATTAATATATATACCATTAATAATTATATATATATATATATATATGATAAATTTTATTTGTAAGTTTTTAATTAAAGATAAATAATTATTAGTTTTAAATATCACATTTAATAAAATATGTTAATATATTTAGATACTTTTTTTAAAACTAAAAGATAATAAAAATTTCAGATTTTTGTTGGAATAAAGAATAAAAATGTGTTGAATTATGCAAATACATACATACATACATACATACATACATACACACACACACATACACATATATATATATATATATACACTATATGAAATAGAATATTAAAAATATTAAATTATAGAATATTAAAAATAATTTAAAATAAAAATCCTCAAATTATAGAAGAATATCATTCTTTTTATACAAAATATTTATTAATTTGGATTGTTTTTAATAACCATAATTGTTAAAAATTTAAAATATAATGTATATTAAAAATTTATTTTAATTACATTTAAATAATACATATATTCACAATATCTCACATTAAAATTTATTTACAAAGGTTTAAAGCAAGAATAGATATAAATACATCTCTTCTTTGCATAATTTACAAAATTGAACATATCTATCTATCTATTGACAATGAAAATTTGGTGATTTGGGAATTGATAGGTTCACATGCTATGAATCATATGACAAATCACATTTTTATCTCAAATTTGACTATTTACATCACTTGAGTTAATAAAAGAAAATAAAAATATGATAAAAACGTTTTGAGATTTTTCCTTTTCCAATTGTTGAGCATCAAGTCTTTGTGGCCCAAGAAGCCTAAGGAGGGAGAAGGGTTTTAAAAAACAAATCCCATCAACATTCGTTGAAAAATAGATGAACGTACGTTCATTGAGTGGAAGCTTCTAGGCGACGTCCCAAGAACATTCAAATGGCCAGCCCAGTCTTCGTCTCATTTAGCGCGGTATCCCGATTTTTGAATAGGAACTTAGAACGATCACAAAGATGGAGAGCCGCCCAGGGGAACAAAGTAACGACGTTGAAAGTCGAAACCTTGGGAACTACGGGGAACAAAGGGAACGCGCCATGGGAACGAGTTGAGCAACTTGGCGCGGGGGTTGTATAGAGAGAGCGAGCGGGGAAGGGAGGGAGTCGGGAAGACGAAAGACGTGAAGGCTTTAGAGAGAGAATGAGAGAGGCACGAGCCCCGAGCCCTAATTTGTTAGATTGAACGGGGCTGTTTCCAAGCGTTGGCAATGGCGATAAAATAAAAATTGTGCTATGAAGAGGAAGCGGCATCAGCGCTCTGGACCCGACGGGCTGGTGCCGGAGGAGGAGGAGGAGCCAGGCACCGAGGCTCAGCATGATGTGGAAGACGAAGACAGGTTGAAGCGATTGCTGGAGGCCGCGGGCGCAGCCATGCCTGAAGTCAGCGATGGCGATGGCGATGGCGAAGCTCCTGCCGATAGTCATCTCGTGCATTCTGAGGATCCTATGAGCGATTCTAAGGTGGAGAAGACAGTCTTGGCTGAGTCGGTGATGACGATTGTTGCGGAAACCGCCGAGGAAGAGATGGCGTTGACGGAGATCGTGCCGAACATGCGCAGGTTTTTTTTTTGTTCCTCTTCTTCTTCTCGGTTGACTTCTGTTGCAAATTTCGGGTCGCGTCATGGTGCGGGGAAGGTGGGAATTAGAATTCTCTGGAATTTTCTGTGGTGTGTGATTATGGATTTAGTGAAGGTAGTGATGCTGCGGACGGTAGATCCAGGTTGAGTTTTGCCAGGACCATTCTCGATCGATTCTTGATTGGTGAAAGATAGGAGCATGGATGCGTGTTGGACCTGAATCTTAGTATCAGTCAGCTGTAATGCCATACTTTTTCTTGCGTTTGTGCAACAAGTGGACGAGCACTTCATACTATTGGATGTAGTATTTCACTGGCACTGTTAATCACGTTATCGGCCGGAGGTTTAGACGTAGTAACGTTTGCAAATCTAAGTTATGAACCCATGTTATTGCGTGTTATGTGTTAGGGTTCTGTGCATGTTTTTCTACCATAGTTGGTAACTTAGGGTCCGGATCCCAATTTGGTAATGATCGAGAAAGTCGGACTGAGTTCTGTTATATTCTTGAATCTTGATGGATTGGTGACACGTTGGCGTAGTAGAGTTGGGGGCATGTCACGACTGATTGTTTAATTTGTAGTTTTAGCCTAGTAGGAAGACTTTTCCAGGTTTGGATGTTTACTTTAGAAATTTTTGGTGTCGAATCAGAAATCGTTGCTTAGGACCTGTTTCACACGCACTATCTCGTGATCACATTTATTGTCAATATTTCCTATTTCGTAGTCGACGATCAAGTTGAAATCTCTTTTGAAGGTATAGTCTGTATGGACTCGGACATTGATTTTTCTCAGTCGTGTTAAGTCAACCTCGTTCAAGAAGTTTGTTCTTCCATGTAATCGTACTATTGGTTATCTTAGTATGAGAATACGGCTCATTGTTCAAATTATGAACAGATGTGGCTTATGTGGCGGAACTACCGATGGAGAACCGGCTGCCGACAATCCGTCTGAGGTAGCTGATGGCCAAGCCAATGGCTGTGTCAAGCCGCATGATGAGAGTTGCCTTGCAGACGTAACGCTTGACACTAAAAAAGCTGATGGGTTCGGAGCGGGAACCGGTTGGCTTGGTCGCCTTTTGGGTCCTCTTGGTGAACAGTTCGGTGTGGGTGGAGTATGGGTACATGAGAACTGTGCCATCTGGAGTCCCGAGGTTGGTTTCTGCACCTTTATCCTCATGTATGGTTCCCATTGTCAAAGATCGAACTATGAAGTTCATGAAGCCTGCGTCGTCATTCTGTACATACTGTTGTACTGTTTGGTTTATTCACTGTTATTACAAACATTTTATTGGGCCGGTGTCTCGCTTCTCACCGTCCCACTTTCACACATTGTATCATTTTAAATTGCGTGTATTAGCTGAGATGAATTTGCTTGCCGCGCAGTTGCACGTTTTATTTCAACGTAGGGAAACCTTTTACTTTTGATGACATGCCAATGCTTTTGATGATCATTTCGAAGTAGTTTTTTTGTTAATCAATTTAAACCGCCCGATCAAATCCTGGCGCGCTTTTTTTAACGTGAGCCTCCATATACTTCACACCTATAAAATATAGCGAAAGGTGTTTCTATTGCAACTGATGTTGTGTCATCTACATAAAACCATTATCGTGTTGTAAGGCAATGTTCCATTGTCGGAAACAGAGTATTATTTTCTTTACTACTTAGTCATCTGTTGAAGGGTTCAACTTGTTGTGATGTCAGTGAGTTTTTGGTTATTATCTTATTCCGAGTTGTCGTGCTCGTCACTTGGTGATCCATGGTGCAGGTGTACTTTTCAGGATTTGGTCGCTTGAAAAATGTGAAAGCAGCGCTTAGGCGAGGACGCCTTCTACGATGTAGCTTGTGCAACCACCCAGGCGCTACCATTGGATGCCGCGTGGATCGCTGTCCACAGAACTATCACCTGGTTAGTTCTACTAGGGTCATAATGAGAGTTCATGGGCAATTTCTTTTTGTTGCGCAATTGTTCTCTGTTTTCACGATATGGTTCATTTCACTACTGTTTTGACATCCTCACTTTCACTGAAGTCGACAGTTACCCTCAACATTGTAGTTTACTGTATCTGAAATGATTGGAACTTGATTTCCAGCCATGTGCACGTGCTGAGGGCTGCATGTTCAACCACCGAAAGTATCTCATGGCTTGTTACGACCACTCTTATTTGTTTAAGAGGCGGCGGAAGAAAAGATACTGGGTCTCGAAGTCCGGGACTGTTCAACAGGATGGAACTCAACAAGAGCATTCGAATCTTCCTAGGATCTCTAAAACACAGAGGCGGGCCGCTGCAGCAGCTGCACGACTGAAGGATATTGAGGCAGAGGAGAAATATTTGGATAAAGCCGAGGAAGACGAAGAGTTTGTGAGGCGAGAACGCAAACGCTTGCAAAGGGATTTAGCTCAGATAGCCCCGTTGAAATTGGGAGGAGGGTCACACGGTAGTAACCAGGGTGTTGCTCCTGAAGGATGGGATAGTGTTGCCGGTTTACAAGACGTGGTGCAGTGTCTGAAGGAAATGGTCACGCTGCCCTTGCTGTATCCAGAGACTTTTACAAGGTATTTATTCGACAGCCTCTCTGCGATTCTAGGAGTTCCTTCTTATTTGAATCAGCTTGGTCAGGACTTGGCGATTGCGACGATGATGTCCATATCATGTCTTGATTTTAGCGCTGCTGCTCTGTATTGATTTACATTTATTAATAAAGTCTTTCTCTTGATTTTGAAGTGCTTGGAGTATCTAAACGAGTTATTCTTCTGTCTGTAAACGCGGTGTTCAGGGAATTTCTGACGATTCTTGTGTCCCATTGTAGCCTAAAGACTTTGGGGATTTTTACGTCTACATTCGTAAAGACTTGGGCTTCTGGTGGTTGCAGGCTTCTCACCAGCTATTTGTCGATTGTTTGACAGGCTGGGAATCTCAGCGCCCCGAGGTGTTCTCTTACATGGACATCCCGGAACTGGTAAGACTTTGGTGGTCAGGGCTCTCGCTGGTGCGTGTTCCAGAGGAGGTCAACAAGTTGCATATTTTGCCCGGAAAGGTGCTGATATACTGGGTAAATATGTTGGTGATTCCGAACGGCAACTGCGTCTCCTCTTTCAAGTAGCAGAACAATGTCAACCAGCAATTATATTCTTCGATGAAATTGACGGACTTGCTCCCAGTAGGTGTGGCGACCGGGATCAGACGCAGAGCTCGGTTGTTTCGACGTTGTTAGCGCTGATGGATGGTCTAAGCTCTAGGGGTTCAGTGGTTGTCATAGGAGCTACTAATCGTCCAGATTCTCTTGACCCTGCTTTGCGCCGGCCTGGAAGATTTGACCGTGAAATATACTTTCCACTCCCTTCGACTGAGGACAGGGCTTCTATTCTTCGGCTTCACACTCGTACTTGGAATCCAGCGCCCTCATCAGAAATCCTCGCTGCTGTTGCCAAGGCCACACCTGGTTTTGCTGGCGCTGATTTGCAAGCACTTTGTGTGGAGGCAGCTATGACTGCTCTTCGAAGAGTGGTTCCTCTCAAATACATTCTGGATTCTGCTGCATTGAAAGAGTCTTTGGAGATCAGATTGCCCTCTCTCCCCTCCATTCAGGTATTGGTAGTTCAACGCAATCAAACTGGGATGATGCATGTATGTTTTTGCTTTCATAGTAGGTGTACTGCTAATTTTATTGGTATGCAATAGGTGGTCACTGACGGGATAAGTTCGATTGTGCAGGTGAAAGCTAAGGACTGGGCTAAAGCGGTAGCACGAGCCCCTTTACCTTGCTCTCGAAGGCTAGCTTCAAGTTCTTTGACTCATGTTCCTGCTACTCCTCTCCCCAGGCACTTGGCACCTGCACTACTTCCAATTTTGGTTGAACTAGTTGTTAAACTTGGTCTTGACGCCCGAGTATCGCTCCCGCCGTTACTAGCAAAGGCATTCTATTTGACAGAGCTTGCTTTGACAGCTGAAAGTAACTTACAAAATACTGAGTGCAGTTACTTCTCTAACAAGGGAGTCATCCTTCCTGAAAAGTGGCAAACTATGGTAGTCGATTGCTTCAAAGATACTACTTCTGGATTAGGCAAGGCTTTGGAGTATGCGTTTCTAGACACTGGTATTATGTTCGACGCCTATGGAGCTCCCCACTATTCCCAACCTGCTTCAACTGTTCGTTTCGAAAACGCTGGCATAGCTGCTGATGAAGGTTGGGTTACCTCCAAGAATTCAAGAGGACCTAGTAATTATGAGGGTCTAAGCAGTTCTCGACGGATATCGAATGACAATGACTTGGATGAAATGGATACTGCTGCTCAACAAAAATGGCCAGGTTGTAAATTCCGCGTATTATTGCTCGGAGGTGCCAAGCAGGGTCAAAAACTTGTTGCTGGGGCTGTTATTAGTGGCTTTGAAGGGCTGGCTCAAACAAGAACTCTCAGTCTTCCAGCAATGCTGATGGAAGGGGGTGGAGATATGGAACAGGGTCTAATCTACATTATAGGTCAGTCGCGTGGAAAATTCTTCTTATCTTTTCACCAATTTGTCTTCCTCCTAAATTTTGGCTCCACAATGGGAAGATGCTCGAAAGTTTGTCAAAAGTCATTTGTTAAATGCAGTACGCTGGCACAGCATACGAGTATTTTTTACAAAGCTCTGAAGAAATTTCTATTCACGAATTTGTAATATAATTTTCTCTACACTTAAGTTGCTCTACAAGGTGGTCACAAGTGCGAAGTTTTTAACTCATCTTGTAAATTCTTTGTGCTTTGGCAGGGGAAGCTAGGCGCAGTGCCCCTTGTGTGCTTTACATGCCCAAGATCGAAGATTGGGTTGTAAGCAAAGACAAAAATGGTAAAAACGACATGAGTGGCATCGTGAAGCATCCAGAGGGCTTTGGGATCTCAAATGCTAGGGCAGAAGATAGTCTTCATGAAAGATTTCGTGTCAATAGTAAGAACGGGGATGAAGCACCCCGAGACATATCTGTGGCTTGGAAAGTGATGAAGCAGCAACTGCAGACCATGCCTCCTGATACTCAGCTTATGCTTTTGGTGGGTTCTCACTAAAAGGGCTGTATTATAATATGTTCTTGATAATTTGGTCAGAATAATTAGAATCTGATTTCCCTTGAGATCTATTGTCCTTTCTTCGACTGAGTGTTATTCCTTTTCATCCTATCCATTGAAAGTTTCAAGTTCAGTTTTGTTTCGCTAATATGTTTCTTTTATGAATCAGGCAACTTGCGAGTCTGGTGTCGAATCCCTCCCTCTTGAAGTAGTTAACTATTTTTCTCCTCAGTTTGAAAGGACATCAAGCATCTCCTCGGTTTGTGCGGCTAAAGTGTCCCCATGCGTGCTTGTGGAATTCTCCTCAAATTACGAGCTAAAGAGCGTGCTGGAAAAGGCATCTCAAGATATTGCTAGTGTGCTGGCCTCTGGATTTGGTAGTAGAATGGCCAGGCTGAGAGAAGAATATATTGCAGGGTGTTCTGCCGAGAAGCCTAAATTTACTAACGCTGTGGGGGTGAGATTGCCAACATCGCTGCAGCAAGCTATTGCCAACAAGGTCTCTCAAATACGGACACGTGTGCGAGAAGATCTAGGAAGAGATTTGAGGAACATAGGGCAAGACTGGGCAAGAATATTAGGCGGATCTCCTTATGCGAATGACTTAGCCAAGGTATTTGGCATGGATGTGGGTAGGGGTTTAGGTCTCGATTTGGGATTAGAGTTTAAAAATCTGGAATTTGGTCTTGTCGAGGAGGCCAATAAAGAGTGCAATATTGATGTCGGGGGGAAATTAGCAGCAGTAGACAAGAATGCTGTTGGTGCCTCTTGTACGATTGGATGTAATGAACGCAGCTCCCTTGGTATACTAGAAGACCATCAAAGATCTGCGCACTGTAAAGATGCAGAATTTGTTATATCAGGAGGGCGATCTTTGAATTTCAATGAAGTCGATGTTAATGAACATGGCACTATGAGGAAAACACTTCATTTGCAAGGTAAAGTTCATCTTTTCTATCTGAATTCATATCACTGACCTAAAGTATGTATCACAAGCAGGAGTAAGGTTGTCTTTTTTATCAGTGCTAGAAATTTCAATTTTTCGTGCGCATGTGCAGATCTGTGTACATCTACAGATCGTATGAACGACACTCGAATTCATCCGGTGGGATGGGATAAGGAACAGCGCGAGGGGCAGCCTACTTCCGAGTCTCTAGGTACTGCTAAGGTAGGGGATTCTATGAAGGCCGCTGAAGAGTCTTCAGCAACATGGACATCTCAACGGAAAGCCCTTCAAAGTGCAATTGCCTTTTGTGGCTACCGCTTACTTCGTGATCCACAATTAGCAGGGCTACGTAGTGCCACAACAATGCTGAAGAGAGTACCTGTCGTTGACATAAATGAAGGTAAAGATGGTGAAACTTTTAATTGGGAAACTCTTGAATTTGAAACATGTGGTGGGCGGCGAAAAGACGAGGCGTACGAACCGGAGTATGTCCGGGGGCTTACAGCTGTGGGTTTCAAGGCATGTAGGGGGATTTATAGAACTGGTCGCGAGGTGGAGTACGAGTTGCGGCGGGTGATAGAAACTTTGTATGAAAGGGTGCATCACAAGATAGATAGTGGAAAAGGTAGCCTGCAATATTTTCATCTAACAACGCAAGCAGCCACTCTAGTGGATCTGATGGCCTCTTGGGTGCTGGAAGTGCGCAAGTAAGTTATCCACTTACTTCAACCGTCATAAGCACCTTAGTGTGCTTTCGTTTCGATATCGTCGTTTCGTAACAATTAATTATTCGAGGATTTTTTTCTTTTTCTTTTTCTTGGGCTCTGTTGAGATATCAATCAGATGACGGCTAAGATTAGTAGTCCTCGTGCAGGTTGGAGATTGCTGCTAATATGCACAATGTGCCCATAGCACAGAATATTCTCGAAGTTCCATATGTTGAAGAGCAGCAACAGGAGCCTTCTGAAGCACGAGAAGGAGTTGAGGCCACTGACGCTGGCGCTGCAAACGAAGAGCTTCACACTGCGTCTGCTGACGTGGCACTAAAAGAGGGAGGCGAACGTGGTAGTATACAAGTAGAAAACGGTTTTATAACTCGGCAAGAATCCAAGATCAATTGTAACTCAAATGGTAATGGAGATGTTCAAAGGGTAGAAGCATCTGACTTGATTGGGACCGCCCAGAAATCCAATGACGGAGAAAAGCTGCCAACGACTCCAAATGGTCGTGAAATCCAGCCTCTGGCTAATGGTATTGCAAGAGGAGCATATGGATGTTTTCCTAGTGAACACAGTCAGTTGGATGCTGCTACTGTACCGACAGAGATAAAGAGCAAACATCTTTCACCTGGAAGATACGGAGCCAGGTCTCATCATAAGTCGCACGTAGAAACCACGGTTGAAAGGGATTCGCCTGGTGGAAAAATTAAACTTCTTTCTTCTTTTAAAGACACAACTACTTCAGAAACCTGCTTGCAGCAACGCACTCAAGATCATGCTCCCTTCCCTCATGAGGGCTCAACCTCAACACCTACTCCAAGAACGAAAGGCTTGCGTCATTCTGTGCGATTTAAACCGGACTGTCTTCATCAACTAGAATGCGTAGTTGGGGAATTTCTAAACCTTTCATGCGAAATAGACTCTTCAAACCTCTCAGTGGAAGTTTTGCATGACCTTATCACTGGGTGTGCATCCTCTGCTTTAGCCGCAGCGCAGAACGTTCTAAGTAAGTCTGAGAAAACTACTATCACGCATCAGGTTATTTTGCAATGGGCAGGATTAACGTGCCGCTGCGGAAGTGATGAAGATGGCGAGGTTGGTGCTTTAATGATGGGTGGAAGTTCAATGCAACTTCCTCCTACCGAATCTCCAATTGCGTCAAATGAGCAGGTGACCCCAATTAGTCAGACCTCTTCGAGAAAGTCCAAAAAGAGAAAGAAGTCAAGAATGTCCTTTTCTGACCTTCAAGCTCCACCAGCTAAGAGGTTAGGTGTCAGTGCACCTGATGCATCACCTACATCCTCTTCATTTGGGCTGATATCCCCGATGAAACAGTCGAATAGCAAGAAAAGTTATACATGCCTACGCCCTGTTAGTAGGGCCGTAAAAAAGTTGGTGGATGATCTGGCAATCAGCAAAGAAGCAAATCTGAAGTTCACATTCGGTCGTTGAATCTCCTCAATAAGAATGCTTTTGTTAGTTTGGTGGCCAATATATTCAGGTAGGAAATGAAGGAGAAAACATCTTGGGCACCTACTTCTGACGCCAAGTCACATTCTAAAGGTATGATTTAGGAAACGAAGGACTAATGGTCTTCTCCAAGGTTGGCATGTAAAATGAGTGCATAATGTATTTTTCTTTTACTGCTCCATTAGGAAGATATGCTGCTAGTTTTCAATCTGGTAGTCAAAGTGGAATTTGACTTAGCCACTTTCTGGAGAACTTGTCGGTAATTTGTCTAACAGCTGAAACGGTTACCTTTGCAGATCATTGCGGATTCTTTCGCTTTTCGCTGCTACAAACCGTGACCAGTAATGACTGCAGGTATGCAGAACTAGTTGTGTTCTATTTGGTTATATTTTCTCTAGCAGGTGTTATTTCTTAGTTTTCCGGTACGACTAATTGGGCATCGAGTAACGCGATACAAGATACTATCAAATTTCGAAACACCATGTACTAACAAATTCTAGTGGTGTGCACCCAGAGTAATGTTTCTAATTTGAGTGCTTTATGGCTACACCGCATTTATCCTGGTTCCAGATGGGCTCAGTGCCAGGGTAAAGCATTTTTCTCCGAAGCGTTGAGGTCCTGCAGCCTGGGTGCTATGATGTACTTGCTGAACTTTCGCAACATATACCAGGTCATTTCCTTCTTAATTCTGTTATGTATGGTCAAAGCTTTGAGGTATTAACCTCCGTTGTGTTGCTTTTGAAGGCTTCGAAATGTTTCGCAGCGAAAGATAGGGTGATATGTAATATGCACCGATGTTCTATTCAAAGCTTACTCTGCTGGGCTTGGCTTCCAAAATATGATTTGAAGTAGAGGTGGATTTTTTTGGGTTGTTAGCTAGCATGCTATATGGTCTGTATCGAATCATGAACTTTATTATAGAGTAGATTTGAGATCATCATGAGACAACTAGGCCACCAACGTTGAACTTGTAAATATGATTCTACCTCAATTTGTTCAGAACACGCCTACACAAGGAACTTCTATAACATTCGAAGATAGCTTTACAAATTTATTCTTGCAAGAGTTGAATTGAATAAGCCTATATTGTTAATGTTATTATTGGGTATGAGATATAACTATTTAAGAGAATTGCAGTTATAGCTTGTTTTACTTTATTAGATGGTTTTTTTTGCAAGCATTATTGGAATGATGGTTTAGTCATTTATGAAGTTGGGTGGAGGATTGATGGTCTAATTTCAATCAAGAAGGGATCGAGTAATTTATCTTGTTGTTTTACTTGATTTCAGTTAATGTAAAAGCACTATTTCTCCTCTTAATGCAATTCTTTAATCTTGAGACAATTCATCTTGATTCTAGAATAATGATATTATATCCATTTCTTTTTAATAATAATGATATTATATCCATTTCTTTTTAATAATAATGATATTATATCCATTTCTTTTTAATAAAGATATGAATCTTTAGGTTAGCAATCTTCTAAAATTGGCTCTAACTTATATTCTAATCTCTAAGTCTTAGTTTTGAAGTAAAGAGAAAATTATTTAAGGTTGTTATGAAAGAGATTTGTTTTGAAGTTGAAAGGTGAAGTTTAAGAGAAGAAAATAGATTTACTCTTATCAAAACTTATAATTTGTAGTAGTTATAAGAATAAGGATTTAAAGTTAGTAAGTAGTAGTGATATAGTTGGAGAATATAATTTATATTAACATATATACACAACCAAATGAACATTTTAAAAAAGAAAAATCTTTATTGATGCATTAACAACATGGTACATTATTGAGAAGATATAACATGTTAAGTTTAATAATTTAAAGTAAAAAAAATTCTTTTGACAAAATCAAGAGTATTTTTATATAATGTGAATATAATTTAGATAGGTATATATGCTTGTCAATGAAAGAGAATTTAGATTGGACTTATTGGGATTGTTTAATAGACGAATCTATTATGCTTTACTTATTTCTATTATTCCTTGCAATTGACAAAGCTAACTAGAAAAAATAAATTTGAAATAAAGTAAGATTTGTAAGGATCTTTATGTCTTGGTAAGATTGGTGCAATGGTAGTAGATTATAACATTATTAGATAGTTCTTGGATTCAAACTCAATCCCTTTTTGTCATTTTTCAATAATATAAAGGCAATATATGTACTTTCAACCAATCAATAAATTAACCTTCCTTACAATAAGATTTTATCTAGATTTTATTGTAATAGCCGAGTTAAACAACTTAAAAGGTTTTTATCAAAATTCAATCCAATTTATCTTTTTATTTTTATTTTTGTTATGTTTGAATAAATCAAAGGTTTAGATATCTATACATATCATGAATCAACTTCTAAAATAAGTTTTGGCCTAAATTCTAATATTTAGGTCCTAGTATTGAATTGTGTTTACTCTCCTAATCCATTTTGCTTGGATATTCTTATTTTAAAATTTTTGGTTTCATAAAGAGTAAACGTGTTTTATTATAACTCTTAGAATCTTCAAATAAATCTAAAGAATTAAAGTGAGTTGGTAGTGGTAACAATATTTTAGAAAGCAATTGTGACTCAACCAATGTACAAACCTATGAATAAACAAGAATACTAATTATTGGATCATTGATATATTATGTTGTTGAACATGTGTTGTATTTGAGAATTAAATGGCTTCATTAAAAAATTCTTCTAAAAATAATAATAAGTTCTTTTATATAATGGAAGTATAATATAGATAAATGTTAGTATCTTAACTATGTTAGTATAGTTAAAGGATTTTGATAAAGAAGATTGGATAGAATTGTCTTCTTCTAATAAACTAATGAACATGTTAAAATCAACATGAGCTCTACCATAAAATTAAATGTTTTGTAACTAACACTTTAACATCTACCAAAAATACAATTGATACTATCAAGATTATGACCTCGCAAAATGACTAAGGTTAAAGTGCATCTTTTTGCAAAGACAATATAAAAAGTAATCCTGAAATAGATCTTAACATTAAATATCTTTGTTGAGGTCCTTTCTCATACTTTTTATTATTTATATTTTCTTTGTCTAATTATCATCAAAATATGCATACAAATATTTTGGATCCAACACCTTAACATGAGCTTTCATTGTATAAACTAGTATAATGACAGTTTTTGCCTCAAGGTGGTTTATCCTATTGAAATATGGTAGAACATGTTTGATTTGTATCTGAAAAATCCCAATAAACTACATCAACTACTTAAAAGCTTTGATAATATAAATCAAACATGTTCTACCATATTTCAATATGGACTGACCACAATTTTATCTGTAAAAAGGGGCACCGAAAATTACTAATCACTCTCCTCCTGACAGGCATTGTCATTTCTAACCCCTAATTCAGGTCTCCCCGCTCAAACATGGCTGTTATTAATTTCCACATTTGTATGCTATTCCACTAACAGCAAAGAAGATAACTCATTTTGTTTCTCGATAAAAAAAATATGAGTATTTAAAAAAAGAAAAAGAAAACGAAGATATGCCCTGGAAGTGCATGTCATACTGAATTCAATTTGCATAGATTATTATTAAACGAAAATGTATGAACTAGTGAATCTCTATAGAGAAAACGTCGATTACATCAACCAGTTTTTGGTTTCTAAGGCATTACAGGGTTTTTGGAATGTTGTAGAACCTGACCGCTTCAAAAGTAAACGAGAGGTTCTCCTCAGCTAGAGGCTCTCTGTCTACCTTGAGGTGTAACGGTTCACAAACAGTGTAAATTTTAGTGCACATACTGAACTTTGAGACATCCAGACCAGGAGACTCTAAGGGCCGCAATTTGGTGCGTTCTAGGTTTTCCCTTATGCACTTCAGAAGATTCAAATGGCCAGACCAAATCCTTTCAATGTGTACAATCATACATGGTATTGTGTGTTAACATACTGAAATGATGAATGAACAATTTGAACACACATGACACTGAAAAACTGCTAACCTGAAGACCAAGTCACCTTAGCGAGGCACGAAGAAATCAAGTCTCGTCATATGATTACGCTAAATGTTATTGTATACCTCCCAGTTTTGTCATTAAAGCAATTACCTGATCACAAAGGATGAGCGAAATACGCTGTGTTGAAAATACAATCCCAACTGCATGTTGCATGCAGGTGTACCTACAGAGACAAAATTCTGAAGATAGAGATGTAACCAGCTACTCTCTATTATTCAAGTAACGGTACAAGAATAACAAATTGTTGTGATATCACAGAAGAGCTGAGGAGCTCACGGATCCACTGCTATTTTGGAGTTCACGCGGAAGCCAGAAAACCTGAGGGACAGTTCAAGCTGAATGCTTGAGGGAACCCGAAGATCTCCAAATTCTGCCTTCAAGAGAGATAACCATCACTGAAACATCGTCATGGTACTTGCGGCGATCGCCTTGTGGGATATCCAGAAGTTCATTCAATTCCATTCCTGCATCTCAGAAAAAGACGTAACGTTAGGCGCAAGGCCAAGAGAAAAACCAACGTCCAAATACCAGTCAGACAACACACTATTAAATAAGAACAAGAATCGACATGAAATAATTAATTGACGATAAAAAAACGGGCTTCCTGTGAATTGAACATTGCCAAGCTTCAGAACTACATAATTTGTTGGTAGTCGACGGTCATAGCCTAAACTAGTACAAATGACCTAAATGACCGAAGTCTTGCTGCAGTCAGCACCATCAAAAAGAATTAGATTACCATTCTTTTTGGCAGCTCGGAAAAGAAGTTCCTCAATAAGACGTTGTGCTGGATCTCCATCAGGACACCTTTCCATAAACCATTCCACACGAGATACAACTTCCTCATTGCTTAAGTATTGGTACAATCCGTCGGATGAGAGCACCAAAAACCGGTCTTGTGGCCCAAGCTTATGATGTCGCAAACACGGATCGCAAGAGATATATGGGTCGTTGCCAATAAATTTGCAACGGAACATTTCAAAGAGAACGTTGTTCAACCTCGGCTGTGTCGTTCACGCCACAATCAGACATTCGTATTAACACGATGCCACAGAAGTTGTAATTTAATCAACACTCTCCATACTGAAAACACTTGGCCAAATTGTGGTACGTCAAGGAGGAGTCGGATACGAGCAAGGGCATAGGAGAAAGTCAAAACTCCTCCATGATGACAACAATGCTCTTCATGTTTTTACGATCCTCAAGGATGTAAGACCCCAAACACTACTCAAAGAATTGTAAAGACTACAACTTGAGGTAAACAAGCAGCAAAACGGCTATATGTCAAAATTGGATAGGATACCTGCTTTAAAAATCCGGCACCAAATGCTCGGGTCACTTTCAGTCTCCCCTTCACTCGATCATTTGAGATTATGTCATCATCAAACGGATGCTCTGCTCTTAATCTCTGCACTTCCTATAATTTCACGGCACAAATATAATGCCAGGTATCAGAGTCTTCCATGTCATCTAACCATTACAAAAGAAATCAAAGCAGTGAATCCAAGCAGACAAGACGCGGATAATGAAAGACTCAGCTTTTACCTCTTCAGTGCTGGTACTATGATCCTCTGTAAGTTGCAAGGCACCTAATAGTGACAGGCCTAGTGGGGGCGGTCCAAGGTTGGGGTCGTGGGCTTCAAGAGCCTCAATTTCTGTAGGGGTTTCTTCAATTATTCTCTCTAGCTCCTGACGCAGTAAAGAGTCGCGAGCACCAATCCTTTCATGCTCATCTACATTGTAGCCATTGAGTTGATTGCGGGAAAGTTTAGAGAGAGAATTAAAAGAGCCTCGTCTGCAGTCTTGCGCAATAATTGCTCGGCTATCTCCAACATTCAGAATATATACATCTTCATCTTTCATGAGCATCACCAGTACACAAGATCCCATCAACGCCAGTTCTGGATTCTCATCCAAAACCCTGCACCAGAGAACCCATTATAAATACATATGATTCAACAGCATTCAGTAGAGCTTATCACTAAATTAAGGGAACAGTGAACAAAATATCAAAGTCACAAGTGTAAGAAACATATGAAAATCTTAGGGACATCATAAAAAAACTCAAATCAACGAACGGATTGAATACCTGTAAGTCATATCCAGGTAAGCTTCTTCTGTAGCTTCCAGTGCACGAGAGAGCGCTTTCAACACAGCATCATGGTCCACAGTATTATTCTCCGATTCTTTTTCTACCTGCATGAGACGAAGTTTTTCTTTTAGCCGCTCTTCTTCCACCAGTCTTTCTTGTTCCCACTCATACCTCCATTGCGGATACTTTCGGTGCTGTTCCCAACGTCGATTATGAAGGACTTGCAATTTCATATTAAGAAAGCTATGATCTTTGGCAAGATTGTTCTCAGCCAAGTGTACATTACTAGATCCTATCGATTCCGGTGTCTTCACCTGAGGAGCAATGCTCGACAAATTCTGCTCAGTACCCACCTGCGTATCTACTCTATCCTCCACCAGTATGCCTTCCTGTTCTAATCCTAAGCCTAATTCGCACTTCGATTCGCTTGTACTTAACTCACACTTTACGTGTCCCTCCGTGTGCTTGAGAAGCTGCTCTTCTGAGTGTTCTCCATTACCATGGGTCACTGCAATATCTACTTCGCAACTAGAATATCCCAGTTCATTGCCTATATCACCAGGGCTCAGATCTACGCTGACAACAGCAGGCTTCACTAATGGTGTCTCAAGAAGACTATGTGGTTGGCAACTGTTTCTATCAAGATCCTCCTTCCCATTCCCTTCAATTCCAGACGTTCCAGAACTACTCAGCTCCTTCACCCCGAACTGCATATTGCTAGCACATTCCTTCTGGCTTTCCTGCAAAGAAACACAGCTGCTAGAATCCACGCGTCTTAAACGGGCTATAAAGTCACCGCCCGCCCTGCCTTCCTCTCCCGATCGGCGGATGTTTCTCAACCCAAGAGTACTTCCTCCACCATAGTCACCAGGGCTACTATCACCAAGTTCAAAACCACTCTTCTGATTCCAGAGCAGACCTTTGAGCTCCCTGTAAATTGCAGGATACAAGTTGCTCATGAGAAAGTCAGGAGCATCGGGTCCATTAAATCCGTCATATATGCCCACAAACAGCCAACCATGCTCTTCAGAGAGTACCACATGTACGCGGTCCTCCCCGGCCTTTCCTTGAGCCCACTGCAAATTGTTGTCGTCTTTGATCTCCAAATCAGACCCGGAAGTGCCCAAGTTCAAGGGCGAATCGAGAGAGCTCTGAGGGAAGTCTCGATGGTCTCCGTCACGAGGATTATCCCCCAAAACGAAGTGCCTCACAGGAATCACGATCGTCCGAGTTAACGTAGCAGTTGTCTTGGACACCGTACGAGCAATGGCTTTCCTCATGGGGAGGCTCATAGACCTCACGAACCGCTTGAGAGAGTTCTTTTTCCTGGTAGGGCCGTGAAGACCTGCGAGAGGAGCAGAAAAAGTATTGCGATCCACTGGCTCGAGTGGCCCGGACATAAACCCTCTCTCTATTGGCCCTGACATGAAACCTCTCTCCAAGGGGCCTGACATAAACCCTCGTTCCAAGGGCCCTGACTGCAAACCCCTGTCAAGAGGGCCTGCACCAAGAAGTCCAGACAAAGGACCTGATATTGGACCTGAATTTGCAATGCGTTGCAGCGGGAGGGCACTGAAGGAAGACGTGCTTTCAAAAGCTGCAGCACGCTCAATGGGCACATTGGAAAAGGAATTGAACTGCTCTTGACTGGCAACTGATCGGGGTGTGGAAGTGTTGGCACTTACTGAAGCACCCGATATGGTTTTGAATGAAGTCTCAGTCATGCTCTTGGCTCTCTCGTTGTGTTTGCTCCTCTCTGGTTTCTCCCATACCACCCTTGGCCTATCCACTTGCTTCAACTCAAGCTCCATTTTTTCTAGGTTCGGTAGCTCATCCGACGCGGCCCTCATTTGAGGGTCCATCTCAACAGCATCGGCAGAAGCAGTCTCCAGCGGTAGGTCGAGCGCTGGCGGCGAAATATCACGAGAATCTTCATGGTTGGGGGAATAGGCAAGAGACCCCAGTACTGGTCTGACGTAACAAAAGGAGTGTCCCAATCCTTCGTCAAGAGGCTCTGAGAAATGCAACCCATGTGCATATTTCTCATGCCTCTCCGAGCTGAAACAACCCAAAGCTATCCTTGACATCCTATTGCCCATCGCATGATCTGTACTATGACTGCTCAAAGTAATCCAAATTGCACATCATCAAAGACTGTCCATAACTCTCCTTTCTCAAATTGTCACAAACACGTAAAGGAACACACGGACATCTTTCAAATTCGACCAACACGGGATCAGCCATCGAGCATGAATAAAGATCCCACACAACAATTTAAAAATTAAAACTAAAAATCACGCCTGCCTGGTCGAAAACCCCGCGAATCACAATTCACTCTGCGGCCTTACCCTTTCTAGCATATCCGCTGCTATGTCATCAATCCACCCTGTCCTGCACTTGAAGCTATAACCAATCTCTACAGCACCCTACATCACTGTTCCTACACACTCGCAACATACGGACAGACATGAAACTTACGATGTAAGAATCCGGGAGTGCCTCACAGATGTCATTATAAATGACGTCGCATTTTCCCTCCACTCCCCAGCTGCTGCAGACTGCACATAGCCCCAACCCCAGGCTCCCAGCCAACCGCGGTTCTCGTCTCTCTCCCCTCTTCTCCCTCAAAGTCAACCTCTCCCACTCCTGAAACGTCGCAGCCACACCTCTCACCTAATCCTCGACGGCCATCTCCTTCACAGCCCTATGTCTTTTAGCCATTCTTCAAAATCCTACTCGTGTTGCCCTTCAACATCATCGTCATCACCAGCGGGACAGCTTTACCATGCTCCTCTTGTGCCTCTCCTTGTGTCTCTCCACTGCCGGCATCATCCTTACCCCCCATCGCCAAGACTCCCTTCCGTCCATGCCTTACCCCCACCTCTCCTCCCATACCCCACCCCCACACACAATTCCTCCCACACCGTTACTCTTTTCCCACCCCCTCCGTCACCAACCCTACATCCATCACTCCCTCAGCCCAAACACGCACGCTACTAGATGCGCCCCCTATAAAGCACAACGAGAGGTATCCACCCCGAATTCGAGCACACCACACAATCAACCCACGCGACCGTTCTCACTCCTCCACCTTTCCCAGCAACTCACACCAACCAATAGCTGGGACTACGCTAAAAGCACCAAAAAGACATCAATATCGAATGCCAGTGTGACTAACCACAAGCTCTAAAATCCATAGCCTGCAAGTGTGATGATAGAGCGCCCTTGGAGATGCGCAGTGGCACCCCAGGACCGCCATGATGAATGACGGGGAATGATGATACCGAAGTCCATTGAAGATTGATATGCTCTAGCCTACCCTGCAAAGCGCTTCTTCCTTCCTTCCTTCCTCCCGTTTTGTTATTGTTTTGTGATTTCTCTGTTTTATTTTGTTTTCTTTTGCTTTTCTTCTTTTTCTCGGCTCTCTCAGTCTCGCTCTCTCTCTCCACCCCTCACTTCCATCCCAGCACACCTACCCTACCCCTAGCGAGCCTCGCCTTCACGAGAGCATGGGGAGTCCCTCGCAGTCGTAGTCTTCCCCTGCAAGATGAAGACCCTCTGACACGCCGCGACCGACCGACCGGTGGATGCTAACTCGCCATGCCTCTCCAGACCCTCGGTCGGATGTATGCCGAGTGCTGGGAATACATACGCTGCTACAGAGGCTTTCAGATCACTGGAGCAATGGGTCGGTGGAGGAAGAAGCACCGTATGTATCTGACAAAACTTGTACTAGACAGGGGAAATAAAGACCCCAGCACTCGTACACCCCCCTCCCCCGTGAAATTTTTCCAGCCCAGAGATAATTTGTAATAGTGCTCTACAAAGCCTTGGATCTGCGATTTCCGAACACCACCCACTCGGTTTTCCACTCCCAGAATGGATTCCACAGGCCTAGAAACAGGAAAGCGTTTCCTTCCTCATCCGTCTTCATCCTGCACCACCGCAGCGACGCCCTGCCGAATTGGTACCCACCAACCATCAACACTTGGGTTAATGCACAATTAAACAGGACGAATCAAGGCGAGGGAGTGATAGATCCTTTCGCTACCTAGTTTGTCAATGCCGGCGATCTTGTCAAGTCGTCTTCCTCTGGCGTGCCGTGAGTTCAATTTTTTTGAAAGTATCCCCATTGCCATCATCGCCAGCTGAGCCACCTCTCATAGGTTGACGGTTCTGAGGTTCATTCATTGCTCGCTCCTTTGGTCAACTACTTCGCTTCTCAGCGCTCAGGTTTGGCGGTTTTTTTTTCTTTCTTTTTTTTTTTTTTTTTTTTTTTTTATCCCTGAGCTTCTAGGGGGTTATAGGATTGGTTTGTGGGTGCTTGATTGCAATCTGAGTTAGTGGCAGAGTTCTGAGAATGATGTACAAAATCTGAGTGAGTGATCTTGCTCTTTTCGGGATCAGTACACGCACAGATGCAAAGTAACTTATTGGGTATAAATGTAGGATTTGTAAGCTGGGTTAGGGGGAATTGACGGTTGTGGCCGTGTCACACAAGCATCATGATTCAATACGTATAGACACATATACGGATTTGTATGTAAATAAGTGCAATTAATGCGTGCAGTAACAAGTGTAGCTTTCCGAAGTTTCACACGTCTAAAAAATCCGAAGATCTAGGAAGAGACTTGCGGTGTTCAATGGCATTACCACACCGGATCCATCACTTACAGACTTTCAGCGTATTTTACGCCTATTGAACATCAATCTCCGTGTACAATTCAAACCTAAGGTACCTACCCTACTGAGATTACGAAATAAACACCTCGAGCTGCTCCAAGCCAACAACAAACGTGATCTCGGTAGTTAAGTCGCAGCTAGGGTTTCTTAGCTTCCAGCACAGAGAATTGCAAAAAACAACAGAAGCAGGGATTATAGACACAGGGTCATGAGGGTTGCAAAAGCCCCCCCCCCCACTTTCGTATGCTTTTGGAGAGCAGTGTGGTGCGAGGGGCCGTGGAAAAGGACGAGCATATGATGCATACCGTGTGCGAAAAGACAGTGTCATTCAATGAATAGTAACAAAACAGGTGAATGGAAAGCATGTCAACTGCTCCAAATATAACCCTTCTATAAATACTAGACATTGACCGTGATAGAATATTGTTGCAGGCTTTAAGCCGCTGGGGCAAGATAGCAAGGCTTTTTGGGCTTGGGCCCCGCCGTCTCCTGACTCCCCCCCTTTGTCGCGGCCTCCTGCGTGACTCCTCACGAAGCTTCGATATGCGGGATTCTTGACGTCTTTCCATGCTTCAATTCCTTCTCCGCAATTCCGCCCCCGTGCATCGCAACTCGCAACAAATCCTTCCGCGCGTCAGATTTTCTTCCTCGTGCAATCTCTGTCGGCTTTCCCCACTCTCCACCATCGCTCGCTTCATGCCAAGCGTAAGACGAGATGATCTGAACCCCCCAAAAGTCGAAGCAACAATTACAACAACAACCCATCTGCGGCGCATGGTGGAATCCACGCTCGCCCAACAAAAAAATCGCCGCAATCTGATCCGGCTCCACGCTTCGGAAGAATCTTCGGCTTCGTAGTCTCCCGCTTTGAAAAGATTCCTCTCCCAAATTCGCTAAAGTACGTTAAAGTTGCTATTGAAAAAGGTGAATGTATGAGGAACGAGTTCATCCATGAAATTCGAATTAAAATACTAACGTTTTGTATAATTTTATTATATTATAATTGTTTTGTATTTTTTTATATTCATATGGGGAGAATGTATTGGAAACGAGTGGGGGGGGGGGGGGGTTTACAACTTCCAACATGTTTTTAGACATTCTACCCTTTTTTTTAAATGAAGTTTAGAAGATTGTGTTTATTTAATGTTGTAATATTGTCTTGAATATTTAAATTAGTGTATATTGAAAACAAAAGGTTGCTTGATACCTTGAATTCAAAAAATGATCGTTGAATTTACTTATCATCTAACATGTAAACTTTGTTCCACAGTATGAAGTTAAAAGATTTTCGTAAATTATGTGGCTATTTTTTAGTGAACACTTTGTTGTTGCCATCTTACACTTTTATTGATTTTCTTTTACTTTTTACATTTGTATTGGATATTTACAGTGGAATACTGATAATTACACATGAAATTGTAAGCATTGGTTGATCAAAAATAAATGTAGATATTCTGTAGAATAAGCTTTCTTTAAAAGTACCATGTTTTTTATAAATTATACTTACACATGTCTTCAGGAATAAAATTGTTATGTTTCAAAGATGCAAACATTCAAACATGTGGTTATTTACATACTAGTGAGCAATGTTTTAGTTTGCTTTAAACTCCTCCACAAAATTTATCTACTATTTATTATAAAAGAGTCTTGTGAAGCTCTATTTATTCTTTTGTTTTGTTTTGATTTTTTTTTGTTTTGATTTTTTTTTTTCTCATATTTATTTTGTAGGTAAAAGACATAAACTAGTCTTTTTATTCCTCTTTTTCACTCTTAAAGGTAATCTAAAGAGGAATTTACATAATAATTGCACATGATCAATATACTAAGCATGAAATAGATACATATTTGTGTACAGTGTAAATAAAAAATATATTGAAAAAATAAAACAAGACCAGGTTTAGGATTTGGGGTTTAGAAAAGAAACAATAACATCACAATGATTTTTTTTTTTAAAATTAAATGACTTTTCAAAAAAAAAAGAAAAATAAGAGAGATAAATATAGAAAATGATAACATATCAAATAATTATCCTGTTAATTACTTGATGCAGCTTGGTTTTAGGCAGGTAATGAAATTAAAATAAAAATATATAATGGAGGGTCAATACAAATCAATTTGTGCAAGATAAACTACCACCTTAAGAGCAGGTTAAACTATATATATATATATATATATATATATATATTGTTAGTAAGAGAGAGAGAGCCTTGACCAGCATGAATGTTAATGTAAACTGGTTCAAAAAAAACAAAAAACAAAAACAAAAATAAACAATTATAATTTATTTGTAGAAAATGTGATGTTATGTTTTATCTATCAAGGTATCACTTCAATAGAGAATATTGAATACTTTTATGTGTTTTCTGCTCAATATTGAAATAGTTGATTTTCTATCCGTGCTTTTAACACAAAGCACATCAATAATGTACTAAAATAATACTGAATTCATATGGTGTGTTTACATATATCTATATATATATATATATTGGTGCAAATGATAGGTAGGGATACAATAGTTTGAATTGTGGTGTGGATGTTATAATGTGTAAATCAGATATTAAACTCCATAAATTTGAGAAAACATAACTTTATGAAACATGGGAAGAATCTTAATATTTATTAAGAAATTCACAATTAATCCTTCTAATATCAATGAATGAAATTTATTTATTTTATCAAGTACATTCAAAGCTTGAATTTAAATTCGAAATCATAAACAAAAATATGAAGAAACAAACAACAAACCAAATGTTCCAAACTACTTCAAACTTAACATCATTTTGCCTAATATGTTGGCATTGCACTAATTCAAATTCAATGACCACTATATATATATCTATATATATATATATATATTATATTATATATATATCATTGAAAACCCAATCCAAGTACCAACCAAATCTCAATATCTTTCACAATTGAAGGCAATGGTAATGCAATCCACATTGAAGACGGAAGGCAAAGTGCACATAGAATGTCTTGGAAAAAGGGCCAAAGCTCCTTTTGAGACCAAAGCTTTGCTTTGGCTTTGGTGCCATCTAAGCATTGAAATAAAGGTTTTGACTTTGAGATGGGTCCACCATTGTAGGTTGTCTATATAAGAAGCTTCTTTGGGAATTTTATTTTCTAAAATGTAATTGAGATGTATTGTTTTAAAGTAATGGGATTTAGAAATCTGAATTCTTGCCAAATCATCTCATGAAATGTGGGTGAAAT